CTCTGCTCCTATGATGCTGCTTGGCCTGCTGTGTTCATCCAGCCCTGCACCTTGTTGTCTCGGATTCTCCAGCATCTGCAGTTCCTACTATCTCTGATCCAAAATAAATCCTGACACTGCTCTGCTGTGTACTACAGCACTCTTCCAGAGTAATCTATGCAACAGAAGCATTGTTTAAAAATACCAGTGGTTGTATTGTTACATGCTAGCCAGACACTGAGTAAGTAGCATCACTCTTAGTTCTGATCGTAGTTAACCAACATATTTGCATCATTTGTTTGTCTCATGCAGGAGAGAATGAACTGTTGTTAGGTCTCTTTTGAATGTAAAGTCTTGATTCCTAAACATCCTGGCCTGTGGAATAATGGCATTAACATTGACAGCATGTATAATGATAATTATGCAATTACATCAGGGTCACATGTTGGATTTTGGGGTTTTTGATCAAATATAGGCATACAACCATTTGTCAGAAATTATCAGAAATTTTATTATATTTGTTAAGAAGCAGCAATTTATAAATGATACATTAGTTAATGGGACAGAAAACATATGCAATGCAAGTCAGTTGAGAACGGTTCATTCTTACCAGAGGACAAAAAGGCAGTTGACACTAAGTCTGTCGATTTCATTCAAGTTGTGAAGACAGCATCCTGTTCTCAAGCCGAAGTGTTGGGGAACTCTTCCCTGGGACTTCCCTTGGCATCTTCTGGTCCAACTTTCATCTGAAGAAGATGGCTTCCTGCTGAGGACTGTCCCCTACAAGGCCCATCTGACCTGGTCAGCCCCTGAACGTTTGTTGGTGTACCATATTTCCAGTGGATACTAGTTTACACTCTGGCCAGAAGGATTCAAATGGATGAAATGGCAATGGATGTTGGACAGCTATTCAGGATGACCGTTCCCCATTTGCCCACCTTCATCTGAAGGTTAGTTTACAATCTTTTGGAAACAAAGCTTTTATTTTCCTAAATGTTGTTAAGAAGGTGTACGTAATGCCTACAGTTCTTTGGCATCAGTTTATGGAAAATTGTATCCGTGGTAGTCTTTATTGTCACATTCCCTTTGTCTTGTTCATTAAAAATTGTTTATGTTCAGGGAAAGCAAGTAACTGCTGTACTGGTAGTTACATACAATCTCACACCACACAGGAAATTTCTAGGCTAATTCAGTTTTAAGCAACCCCAATTTCTAAAAGTCTGTCCTTTGAGAAAGAATTATTGTTATTGACCTCTTCCAATCTAATTCTTAACTGGCCTATCCATTACTAAAATACAAGTTCTTAATTAGATATGGCAGATAACATATTAACTGTTCAAATGGCTTTGGGCAGCTGTTAAACACAATGATAACATCCTCATTCAAGGGATTTGGCTGATGTTATATCTCAGGTGTGTTCTACTAGTTTTTCAATAACTTGTTCTATTTCTTTGTTCTGGCGGACTGTTTTAACCAAATTCTTTTCGGAGGTACTGGTCCTAAAGATTGATTTGAGGTTTAGGGACAATAGGGGAATTGGATGATGACATTGAGAAATGACTTTAAAGGAATGCCTGGAGATATTACTCTCAGTGCCGTGACATTACATATGAATGCCAGATGTGACCTCCTATCATAATTGTCTCCTGCCAGATCTACTTTACTTGGTCTTTTATTTTCATTTCGGGTTCCCTGTTGACTTTGTGCAGGGCTCTTGGCCAGAAAATCCTCACCAGTTGATCACAGCATTCATGTTATCTGGATGAGCACAGTTCTAGAGGGAGGGGATTGTTCCCAAAGTGCAGATTTCACATAGTTGTATGATTGTTTGTGGATGGTTGTGTGGCTACTAGTTTGATAACTCGCTTTCTCTCCAATTGTGGGCAGCTGTCTTTTGGAATTATTCCCCCATCAGTTTGCCTATTTTTTCTTTCCTTTCAACTTAGATCAAGTTGTTAGATTTCTCCCTCTCTCCCTTTTTAAGCATTTAACCCCCTTCAACCTTCAGTTGTCACAACTGAAAATTCTTTTTATTTTAGTTTTTTAACTCCTTCTCAGCAGAACTACTTTTTGTTGTTTTAAAATCAGTTTTTCTATGGATTATATGTTAGTACCTTAATCATTTAAAATGTGTTTTCTTGGCGATAATACCCATTTTGTCAAGTAGGTGTACATGTCTGAGACCCATTCTTCAGTGCAATTTCACCATGCCTTTCGTCATGTTAGTTCATTCAGATGTTTTAAAAACAAAATCACTTCTGCTCATATACAGAGAGCAGTGTATTGGGAGTCTACACGCTGCTGCTGTAATTGGAGCTTGGGGGCTAAAGTGGCAACACCTGTTGCAATTGAGAGCAGCTGAAGCTGATTGAGACCTAGAGCCTGGGACTCTGTTTGGAGAGATTTGAGCCTGGGATTTGCTGTTGCCTTTGGAAGCCTGATGGCTTGCATTTCTCCTCGGTGAGTTGAAGACTGAAGTAATAACACCTGTTGCAACTGGGAGGAGCTGCTGCCGCATAATTGAGGCCTGGGCCTTGGATCAGGTGTTGTTGCTGCTGCTGCTGCTGCCGCCTTTGGAAGTCCGGTGGCCTGCTTTTCTCCTCGGTAAGTCCGGGTTTACAGTAACAACACCTGCTGCACTGCGGAGAAGCTGCTGATTGGGGCCTGGAGCTTAGGGTCTTGGGTGACCCAGTCTGTCTGCCTGCCTGGAGGGACTCGAACCTGGGACTTGCTGCTGCAGGTGCTGCTGAGCAGAGGGGCCAGGACATTACAAGAGGGAGGTTGGCAGCAAGAGTTCCAATGGGTAAAGGAGCACAAGTCGTGACTGGGGAGCAAGCAGAAAGGCACACCTAAACAGCTTCTGGTGGGAGGGAGCACGCAATCCCAGAGTGATGTCACAGCCAAGTTGGTAAGTGATTGGCTGAGGGGTGAGTTGTAAACCTCTTTAATTTTCTTATTCTAGACAAATAATCTGTTGAAATGACTATACTTGTTAACTGTTAGTGTGTGTTAGTGAGAATTAGATATAGTTTTGTTTTTTAGTGGGTAATTTTTGGGTTAATTAAAGGGCTGGCAGGCCAGGTCCTTCAAGCAGTATGCTCCACCTGTAGCATGTGAGAGTTCTTGGATGCTGATTGTACGATGAGCAACACGTGTGCAGGAGGTGCTGTCAGTACCTCCAGCTCAAGCGCTGGGTTACGGAGCTTGAGTGAGGTCTGGAGGCATTGAGGAGCGTCCAGGAGAATGAGAGTTATGTGGATAGCACGTACAAGGCAGTGGTCACCCCACAGTCTAAAAGGATGTAAGAGGATAGGTAATGGGTGACCATTGCATGCAAACATAAGATGAGGCAGGAAGTGCAGGAGTTCCCTAAGCTCATCCCAATAGCCCACCAGTACGCTGTGTTGAGTTCTGGCGACAGTGATAATGCCTCAAGGAATTGCAGGCAAAGCAAAACCTGCAGCACCACGAGGTGCTCAACTGCACAGACGTGGGAGAAAAAGGCGGTTAGGACTGTAGTGATAGGAAAATCAATTGTTAGGGAAAAGAAAGACACTTCTGTAGCCACTTGAGTGACAACCAGATAATGTGGTGCCTCCCTGGTGCAAGGATGCTGCAGATTACTGAGTGGCTGCCGGGCATTTTGGTGGGAAAGGAACCAGCCAGTGATCATGGTACACATTGGTACCAATGACATAGGTAGGAAGAGGGATGAGGTCCTGAAGGTTGAATTTAGTGAATTAGGAGCTAGATTGAAAGCCAGGACCTCCAAGGTAATCATCTCTGGATTACTAGCTGTGCCACGTGCTAGTGAGTCTAGGAACTGGCAGATTAGACAGTTTAATATGTAGCTGGGGAGTGATGTATGAGGGAGGGCTTTGGATTTCTGAATAATTGGGACATTTCTGGGGAAGGTGGGACTAATTCAAGATGGACGGTCTTCACCCAAACAGCGACAGGACCAATATTCTTGCAGATGGTTTTGCTAGCAGTGTTAGGTGGACTTCAGTTTGGTAGGGGGCTGGGAACCTAAAGGGAGGCTCTGAGTTAACTCAAATGGGTGAGGGCTTAAGGAAAAAGAGTCAAGACAGTAAATAAAAAGCAAGAAGCAGCTGAGTGGTATAGCACTAAGATGAGTGGAAGCCAGGTAGTGACAGAAAAAGAGAGAATGTACAAAGGATTTTCTGGTGGGGGTGTTAAGATTCAAAAAGGAGTTATAAAAACTAGCATAAGGGCACCTTACGTGAATGCTTGCAGCATTCAAAACAGGGTAAATGAGTTAAAGGCACGTATCATCGTGAATAGGTATGATTTAATGGTCATTACACAGACATGGTTGCAGGGTGGTCACAAGGAGTTAAATATCCAGGGGTATCAGCCTGTTTGGAAGGACAGACAGGAAGGAAAGGGAGGTGGTGTAGCTCTGATATTTAAAGATGACATCAGGACAGTAGTGAGAGATGATATAGGGTTAGCGGAGAAAAAGGTTGAATCAATTTGGGTGAAAATTAGAAATAGTAAGGGGAAAAAGTCAATGATAGGCGTAGTCAATAGGTCACCAGATAGTAACATCACCGTGAGGTGGGCAATAAACAAACAAATAACTGATGCATGTAGAAATGATACGCAATTATCATGGGGGATTTTAATCTATATATTGATCGGTCAAACCAAGTCGGTCCAGGCAGCCTTGAGTTCATAGACTGTATCTGCAATAGATTCCATTATGTACAGTTTGAGGAAACTATGAGGGAGCAAACTATCCTAATTCTGGTCCTGTGTAATAAGACATGAATAATTAATGATCTCATAGTTAGGATCTTCTCGAAAGGAGCAATCACAGCATGCTTGAATTTAAAACAGATGGAGGATGAGATGTAAAATCCAATACCAGTGTCTTGTGCTTAAAGAAAAGAGACTATGATGTGGTGAGGGAGGAGTTGGCTAAGGTAGATTGGGAGCAAAGACTATATGGTGCGACACTTTAGGAACAGTGGAGGACTTTGAAAGCGAATTTTCAGTGCTCAGCAAGAGTATATACCAGTGAAAAGGAAGGGCTGTAGGAAAAGGGAAAACTGCCTTGGATAACTAAGGAAAATAAGGAAGGAATCAAATTGAAAACTAATGCATACAAAAATTAGTAAAAAAACGAGGAGCTTGGGAAATCTTTAAAGGTCAACAGAAATCCGTGAAAAATGCTATAAAGGAAAGGTAAGATAGATTAAGAGTAAATTAGCTCAATTTAAAAACAGATAGCAAACGTTTCTACAAATATATAAAACAAAAAAGAGTGGCTAAGGTAAACATTCATCCTTTAGATGATGAGAAGGGGAATTTAATAATGGGAAATGAGGAAATGGCCGAGGAGTTGAACAGATCTTTTGTGTTGGACTTCACAGTGGAAGACACAAATAACATGCCAATAATTGATGACAAGGAGGCTATGGCAGGTGAGGACCTAGAATTGATCATTGTCACTAAAGTAGTAGTGTTGGGCAAGGTAATGGGGCTAAAGATAGACAAGTCTCCTGGCCCTGAAGGAATGCATCCTAGGGTACTGAAAGAGATAGTGTGGAAATAGCAAATGCGCTTGTGGTAATTTACCAAAATTTGTTGGATTGTGGGGCAGTTCCGGCAGATTAGAAAACAGCAAATGTGACATCACTGTTTAAAGAAAAGGAGGTAGACAAAAGACGGATAACTATAGGCTTGTTAGCTTAAGTTTCTTGAACCTATCATTTAAGGAAGAAATAGTGAGACATCTGGAAAGAAATTGTCCCATTGAGCAGACGCAGCATGGGTTCATGAAAGGCAGGTCATGCTTAATTTATTTACTGGAATTCTTTGAGGACATTATGAGCAGTGGACAATGGTGAACTGGTGAATGTGGTGTATTTGGATTTCCAGAAGGCATTCGACAAGGAGCTGCACAGGATAAAGGTGTACAGCATTACAGGTAATGTATCAGCATGGAAAGTGGATTGGTTAACTAACAAAAAGCAAAGAGTGGGGATAAATAGGTGCTTTTCTGGTTGGAGATCATTGTCTAGTGGTGTACCTCGGATCAGTTTTGGGACTGCTATTGGTTACGGTTTATATAAATGATTTGAGTTGGGGACCAAGTGTAGTGTGCCAAAGTTCGTAGATGACACTAAGATGAGATGGAGAGCAAAATATGCAGAAGATACTGAAAGTCTGCAGAGAGATATAGATAAGTTGAGTGAGTGGGCAAGGATCTGTCAGATGGAGTACAATGTTGGTAAACGTAAGGTTATCCATTTTGGTAGGAATAACAGAAAAATGGACTGTTATTTAAATGGTGAAAGATTGCAGCATGCTACTGTGCAGAGGGATCTGAGTATCCTTGTGCATGAATCACAGAAAATTGGTTTTTCAGGTGCAGCAGGTATTTAAGAAGGCAAATGGAATATTGTCCTTGTTTGCTAGAGGAATGGAGTTTAAAAATAGGGAGGTTATGCTGCAGCTGTGTAGGGTGCTGGTAAGGCCATACTCTGGAGTACTGTTTACAATTTTGGTCTCGTTACTTGAGAAAGGATGAACTGGCACTGGAGGGAATGCAGAGGAGGTTCACTGGGTTGATTCTGGACTTTAGAGGGTTGGCTTATGAGGAGAGATTGAGTAGATTGAGACTATACTCATTGGAATTTAGAAGAATGAGGGGGATGATCTTATAGAAACATATAAATTTATGAAGGGAATAGATAAAATAGAAGCAGGAGGTTGTTTCCACTGGCGGGTGAAACTAGAACTAGGGGGGGCATAACCTGAATAAGGGGAAGCAGATTTAGCACTGAGCTGAGGAGGAACTTGTTATCCCAAAAGATAGTGAATCTTTGGAATTCCCTGTCCAGTGAAACAGTTGAGGCGACCTCATTGAATGTTTTTCAGGCACGGATAGATTTTTGAACAGTAAAGGAGTTCAGAGTTATGGTGAGCGGGTGGGTAAGTGGAGCGGAGTCCATGAAAAGGATCAGCCATAATCTTATTGAATGGTGGAGCAGACTTGAGGGGCCAGATGGTCTACTCCTACTCCTATTTCTTATGCTGTAATACTGGTGCATATGCCTGCACATCCTCTCCGCCTGGTCCTGACATTTTGAGTTGTGGCCAGACCATCCCATTCAGTTCTCTCTTAAAAAGCTCAAGAACACGAACATCTCAAAAAAAAAAAAAAAGGTCAATTAATCAGTATCATTATACTTTCCTTTCACTTAATATGTTCTCATTCAATGTTGTGAAATTTTCCTCTCACTATCTTTTATTCTAAGTGGGGCATCCCATTTATGGCCACTCTATCTGATTCATAAACTCTGAAGAAACTTTACTGTCCAATTAAAAATAGGTTTTTGTAATATCTTTAAAACAGAGTTCAAATATTATTGTGTGATTCTAAGCATTACCAAATTCTGCTTGTTTGTTCATTCTTACATAAAATCATTTTCTCAAAGTGACTTGCTAAATTATGCTGGAATTTTCTTTCGTTTAAAAGTATTCCAAATTCAAATGTGGCAATATCACATTTGAGGGTTTTAAAAAATGTACAGTGTTGTTGGACTGGCAGAATTTGTTAGTGGTAATTTATGGTCTTACCAAAGCAATAGTTCCCTTTATCTTTGATACGACTTAAAACCACCAAAGTTGTTTCCATTGACTTTTGTTTTAGAATAATTTTTAAAATTAAAAACTTGTTTGGCCCCTTAAACTTCATGTAAATTTCCCTTTGGTTGCATGGAATGGCTATTTGTATGAATTCAATTTTAGAAACAATTATGTCCAAGCTTGGTGGTTTTAAATGGTGCTTTTATGTCAGAAACAAAAGTGATCATAGTCACTTTAGGGTAACTTTTATATTTTCCATTCTTAAATCTTTGTCTCAGAAGATAACAAGTAGCCTGGCTGGGCAAGGCCTTTAGTCATTATTTTATATCTGTGAGTAATCCCTTCTCCAATCTGCAAGACCACTGTATCCTTGGCTCTGGTATCAGTACTTAGGTGGCTCTTGAAACCTATTTTAAAAATATAAAAACAATGCCCACTATGCCTGTGGTTAGACCCCAATGGGTTAACGTCCAATCATATTTAAAAATGTCTTCTTATTATTAAAAAGCTGTCAGCAGGAAGAGTTAACTGCTGATTTGAGGATAGGGTGGGGCAAAACATTCATCAAGTGATGTCATGTTGTAAGTTTGCATACTTTCTTTTAAGAAACGAAGATATTTCCCAAATAATTTCAAATTTGTTAACATAAAATCTTGTCTTTTGGCTTTGCTGAAATGGACACGTTGTCCCCAAACATTTTAGTACTTCGTAAGATGTTTTCTACCTGAGTGTTTTTTAAGACCAGATGGATTAGAGGGACACCAGATTAATAAAACTTTGTTAATATAACATTTTTTATCCTCTCATGAAAACAATTTTGTTATTCTCCATCCCATTGCTTACCTGGCCTCCTTGTCATGTTACATCCTGGTACCTTACCTGACACCTTTCCCACTTGATATCTGACCACCTATCCATTTGGCACCCCGAACCCTGTTTTCCACCCCTGTCTTGTCAACCTCCTGCCTTGCCCCTGAGGGACCTTTTCAGAATTGAATTCTTGCTCTACATTGAAGAAAGAGCTTTGATTGGAACCTCCTGTTAACAATGCAGAACTTTTTCTTTCAGTAAAAATGGAGTGAAGTGGCAATCTGCATGTGATAGCTAATTCTCTGAAAATCAGGCTCTTTGTGCCCTTGGTGCTCCTTGTTTATTAGAATTTGTGTCTGGGAAATCAATAAATAAGAACTGCCACACAGGAAATATTAGAAAAATACATTTCTAGAAGGACCCCAATTTCCAACAAAAAGCTCTAACAGGACCACGAGAGAATGTGTATATAGATTAAGCTGCAAACAAAGAATTCTGGCAGAACATTTGTTGGATTCCAGCAGCAAGTCTTTGGGAGGCTAAGTGGAGTTACATAGCCATGACAAAACAAGGTGGCAGGGAAAATGGTAAAAAATGCAGCAACTGAAGCAAATTTTTTTCAAGAAGTGAAAAACCTTTCTCAGCACTTGCTAGGACGTCAGAACGTTGTGGGTGCAGTTAAAGGCTGGTAAACAGACATAGAGACCAAACAGCAGAGAAAACTTGCCCAAAATATTGGGCAGGGACACAGAAACAGCTGTAGACAAAGGAACAGCTCCAGAGCTGAGCCTGAAGGCTGAACTGCCACTCTTAGAATCATACCAGGTGATCAATTAGATCAGATCTAGAAAAAGTGTTTGGAAAAAGGATTTACAAGGTTTAGCGCAACTACAGGCTTATACAGAAGAAGGCAAAAAGATCAGATTAGTAAATTACAATACGTGGTGAGGATCATCATGGCTAGCTAATTTGCAAGACATGGCATTGATGAAAGTGCTTCATTTATGAAAATGTATGTATTGAAAAACATTTGATTGATACTTCAGTGTGCGGAGAAATTTAATCACTGAGTAGGCGAGTAGACAAACAAAGGCTTGGGAATGCATGGATTTGTTCATAAATGATCTTAACTGGCTGGTAGAGAATTGAACATATGAAGGGCTGAATTCACAACCAGGTTATCAGACGAGGCCTTTTCAGATCTTTAATAAAGAACCCTTGCAAAACTGAGTCAGTGGGAATCCAGGGAAAACTCTCCACTGGTTGGAGTCATACTTGGCACAAAGGAAGATGGTTGTGGTTGTTGGAAGTCAATTATGTCAGCCCTAGGACATTTGTGCATAAGTTCATCAGGAGAGTGGATGAGGTCCAAGCATGTTAGCTGCTTCATCAATTACTTTCCTCATCAGAAGGTCAGAAGTAGGGGTTTGCTGATGATTGCGAGAGGATTTGAGTACAGGAGGAAGGATCTCTTGCTGCATTTATACACGGCCATGGCAAGACCAGACGTGAAGTATTGTGTATGGCTTCGGTCTCCTTACCTAATAAAGGATATATTTGCCTTAGAGGGAGGGCAGGGAAGGTTAACCAGCATTAATCCTCTGCTGGCAGGATGGTCGTATGAGGAAAATGGACTGATTAGGCCTGTTTTGAAAAGTGGAAGAGTCTTTTAATAAAACATACATGGGCTAAGCAGACTGGATGCAGAGATGATGTTTTCTCCCGTCTGAGACTAAAGGCTTCAAAGGGCATGGAAGGAGAGTGGGAGCAGGATGTTTAGAGAGGGTATCAGTCATGACGTATTTAATGGAAAGTCAGACTTAATGAGCCAAATGTCTTGCACCTATTTTCTAAGGTTCTGAGATTGCACAATGTTCAGCATTATTTGCAGTTTCTCAGGTACTGAGGCAGTCTGTGTCCCTGTCTGTCCATTGAAGCAAGACCTAGACAAGATCCATGCGTGGGAACATCTTTGCCTGCAAGTTCCCTCCAAGGCGCATACCATCTAACTTGGAATGAAATTGCCATCCCTTCGCTGTTACTGGGTCAATATCGAGACTCCCTCCCAAACAGCACAGTGGGTGTCCTTACACCCGAAGGACTGCAATGCTTTTAAGAAGGCAGTTCACCAACACCTTTTCCCAGGCAATTAAGGATGGGCATTAAATTCTAGCCTAGCCAGAGATACCCAATCCAATGAAAGAATAAAAGAAAAATAAATTAGAGGAGATTTAATCTTGGAGAAAGCAGTGTAGATTGATAACCAAACTAAACATCAGAGGTAAAAATGATGTTCACTCAAGGGAAAATGATGCTCCATGGAAAAAAAATTGCATGAGACCATTCAGCTGCAGTGAAGAAAGTGCATTAATTGTTAGCCTGTCAAATTTATAAAAAGGACACAAAACCATATTTTGAAATGTTGGAGATGTGGCGGGAACAAGCTACGTACCACCACCATCTGGCAGGGCTTGTTCTGTTCTGTGAGCCTTCTGGTGATTCTCTAAATCATGTTGTATTCCAAGGAATGTCTATCAATACATCCATACCTAGGAGGAACTGGTTTGAGCAGCATTCCATAAAATGTACTTAACCTGCTGCCACATAATTCCTTGGAAACCTCTGTACCTTGAAACATCAATATAAAATACCAAAGACTAGTAGAATTGCTAATAGAAACGCTAATAGAAACAACCCATCCTTATGATGCAGTGGTAGTGACCTTACTTCCGTGGCCGGAAGGATCAGGATCAAATCCCACCTGCTCCAGAGGTGTGTTATAACATGTACGAAGAGGTTGATTAAAATAATCAAATCAACTAGCAGCTAACCTGTAAGAAGTTGATGATCTCTTTAAATAGTGGTGGTGCCCATGCTGCTCTGTGAGACTGAGAGGGTGTTGGCTGGAGCATCAGTGTTAACACTTGGTGTTAAATAAGTTCTGCAGCCTAACTGATGTCATTATTTGCCTGGAGACAGTAAGGTCTGCAGATGCTGGAAGCTACAGTCAATAAACGTGGAGCTGGCAAAGCACAGCAGGTCAGACAGCATCCGAGGAGCAGGGAAGTCAACATTTCAGGCCAAAACCCTTCATCAGGACGGTCCTTTTCCAGCTTTTCCAGCTCATTATTTACCTGTTCTCTGTAGTTCTGCTGCACACACTAACACCTATATGGCATTTGAGCATGATATGCCCACTGGTGCTTGCACTTTGTGAATGAAACTATGGGGCTCCAACAACACTTGTATGTCTGAAAAACTGTTAAAGGCTAATTTCTCACTGTACCACTGCATACCTGGTCAGTTATAAAAATTGCATTGCCATGGGAAGGGGAGAGATGAAAGCATCATCAGATGTAGAAGAATCATGCCTAGGAAGCATTTGTGGAATGCTTTAGTAAACACCTTGTTACGTGTTCTCTGATCAACCTCTGGGATGGAGACTGCAATTTTAGCCTAACCTGCTCAATAGGATACTGATGAGATTGAGAACAAAGCTCAGACAATTTTACATTCTGTTGCAATGGAGGTGGTTTCCCAATCAATGAATTAGTTAAGATTGATTCCTCTATGAGGATCATGTGACTAAACAAAACACTAAACCTAAAAATTAGAATTAATCTGTGAAAACGTTACATTATCAGTAACCCTCTGCAGTATTTTCTACACATTCCTTAAGTAAATTGAATCATAAGTTTCGTTTGAAGTCCTATAGATTGTTAAATAAAGGTTGATGCCATTGGAGAGAATCAGGGTGAGGGTACTTCAAACAAAATGTTTCAGTAATAATTTAAGTTTTATATTATGCAAAGATTAAATTTTAATATGAGTAGAATTAAAAGGGAATTTTTTTCTACTGTTTTCAGATATAAATGCTCAAGCACGGAAACTGCAGAGGAACCGGGCAAAAGGCAACATTTCAACAATGTCTGACTACAGATGTAAATTAGCACCCCTTCGACGCAGCATCAGTGAGACGAGCCTCGCTATCACTGAAAATCAGAGGGAGGAACAACAGAGACTTTATTCAACACTGCCTGGGCTTCCTGGAAGGAGGATCAGTCGATGCAGAAAGGACCGACTTCGCAGCACAAGCAATAAAGGGGAGCAAGAAAGTAACATCCACCAGGTGCCTCACCTACTGCTTCTTCAGGGATACAACTACCAGAGTGTAAGCAGAACAAGCACACTTCTGTTCAGTATTCCTTTAAGATTTTTTCAAAATCTGGGGTAGAAAAATACTTTGCAGTTACTAGTGCAAAACCAGTGTAATGTTATAAACATGATGGGCTTTTCCACAAACATTGATCTTTTAAGTGTAAACAGCATATATGAGTAAAAATTACAGACTAGTATTTTTAAACAAAGTATTTCTATGCGTCATAGATAAACATTTAACTATGCATTCTTAGCTATTTCACCGGTTAGCGAATAGAATTTTGAAACTTGGGGATGACCATGTTTTCTTAGATTAATAGGTTCTGATTTTCCACTCTGGTTGGGCATATTTGCATTGCATATCAAATTTTTACCCAGTGAAGGCAGTAGGGTCAGAAGTAGGATTGTCTAATTGATCAGCAAAGTCTTTGTGACATATTATTTCATAGTGCTCCCTAAATCAGCCCAATTTTGTCTTTATCTCGGGTGGGGATAGGGGAAGGAAATAGGATGATTATGGGTCTCTGAGGCCCTAATTAGATACTTTATTAGGTGTCCAGAGGAAGGAAATGCTTGCCAAGGACTCCATGTGCCTGTTTCATTACTGGAAAGTAAGCTCTATGCGAGGTTGATTGATGGTTTGGTAGCAGACATTTGTAGGGTAGATACGAGTAGAAAGCTGCAGGAACTGAGGGGTTTCTTTTCTAGATATTAATTTCATGGAACAGTAGGGCAATTAAGTTGTCGTATTTGCTTTGACGTAACCACAGTTTTAATTTCACAGTAATATGAACTCTTGAACATAAATTGCATTTAAAAATTTAAGATCATGGAAATTAAAATAAAAATCCCTTCTGTTTTTATGCTTAGTGGAAAGGATGTATTGCAAAATAAGTTTTATGACCCAGTAGAGTCTGAAACCCCATATTTTTACTTTCTGGTTGGTTCCAATTCTCAATTTCAAAACTACATCATTATATGACAGGCATTTAAAACTGAAAATGATAATTACAGTATCACCTACTGACGTAACTGGGACTCCAAGTTAATGTTAAAATTGGATTTCCCATGGATAAAGCCTGAAACAGGTTCCAAGTCACTTATAGTTTTATATGTAACATGAAAACACACAGATTTATATACATAGAGATTAACAATGTCTGTCATAGATTTTTAGCTCCGAGCTGGCACGATTGTAGGCATGGAGTCCCCTCGCAATCTAAAAGCCTGTTTAATATTCTTTGACTTTTAAAGTTGTGGCATGGTAGAAGGTCTTCTATTGTTATTCCTTCCATAGTGGCATTAATTGGAGGAGCACAGAAATGAATAGCGTTCATTAAGCTGCTGCTTGTTTGATCTATGCCCTGCTATGTAGTAAAGGTTGGTTGCTAAAAGAATTCTCATATTTCATTCAGTTACTTTGAGCAAAATGTTTAGTTCTTTTGCAATAAAAGAAAAACACGATATAGAATTTATTATAGGTATGCTGATACTAATCAGGATGTACTTAAAATTACTTACAGATAGAACAGTAGATAAAAGACTTTGCTCATTGTCTGAATATGTTCCTTCATACAATGATCAGAAAGTTAGACTGAAGATTTTTTTGGCTCTGTGTGTTCCCATTAGAAGACATTTTACTGCAATTGCATTTGTAGTCTGTTCTATAATGCTATAACTCTGTTCTTAAACTGATAAGTGAGAATGAAAAATGCAGCCTCTGGGTTTTCTTTTTACAGGATTGTTTGGTATATCGTCTAGATTATGAGAAGCAAATTGTTGGACAAGAGACAGCCTCGGTAAAACCCAGTATCTGTTTGTCATCACCCGATATCCTTTCTGTGCACTGCAAGATTAAAAGGGTTAAACGGTCAAACAAGTACAGTCGCTATGTTGAGGAACAAGTTATACTGGAGCCATCCCTGAATGCCTGCATTTTAATAAACTGTACACCAACAGAAGGGTCAACAGAACTCCGGCATGGCGACCTAATTGGGTTTGGACAGCATTATCTTTTTCTCTTCAAGGATCCTTTGGGTGCTAAAAAGCTGCCAGCCCACACTTACTCCATGCTGAGACATTTGCATCATTTGCCTGAGCACACTGGTCGCCGCAGAGCACCCATCTGTAAAATGTGTGGCTCTGTTATTAAGAATGGCTTAGCAAACACGCACAAAAATCCCAACTCTTCTGCAAACAGAAGTAACAGTATTCACAAAAAGAAACTGCAACTAGAGTATGAAAGGCCCTTTGAAGATGTGCTGATCAGTAAAATCTTCACCCTTATCGAGCCCAGTGGAGATGATCACAAATTGACTCCAGCTTGCCTGTTGTGTCTGTGTATTCAGCACTCAGCTACTACCTTCAAGTCAGGTGATTTTATGAAGCTTCTTATGAAGATTGTGAACAAATTGCAAGCTGTAGCATTGGTTAGTATCCTATTATTTAATATCGGTTATTATTATGATGCATTTATAAGATGCCTTAAAATAATCGTCCTAATTTACATTTATGTAGAGACATTAGCACAGTGAAATATTCCAAGGTACTTCACAGGGGTGTGTTCCAATAAAATTTGACAGATTCACTGGGAAATTAAAATCAATGATCAAAAACTTAGTCAATAATACAAATCTTAAGGAGAGTCTTAAAGGTGGAGAGTGATGAGAAAGGCAGAGAGATTCACTGAAGGAATTGGAGATCTTATGGATATCAAAGCGCTTCAATGCTGTTTGGAGTTTGTAATTTTTGCTGTACAGTCATATCTTCAAAAGGAGCTGAAAGGATTAGGTCAAATTTATTACAATATTTGCATTCAACCAAGTTTTGAACTGGTTACTGGTTTCAAATTTCTGTATTTTGGATCTGTGCCCTTCCCAAACCAACCAATGTAAAGACTTATCCAGTCTTTAATGTCCTTTTGGAATGTTTCAGATGTTTTACAGCCAATTAATTTGAAGTGCAGTCATGTACTATGGACCTAAACACAGCAACCCATTCATCAACAGTAAAATTTTGCAAACAACAAATGAGAGGAGTGACGACTAAACCAGATTTTCTTCAGTGATGTTCAGAGTATTAATTTGGATACTTACTTGCTCGTTTTGGGGGTAAAAAAGACCACGTGATTTATCACATCCACTTGAAAAGCAAGCAGAGGCTTTTGTTTTGCATCATGCTAGAGAGTTGGTACCCCCCCCCAACTGTGCAGTATTTCTTAATGACTACATTGAAGTGATACACCATCTGATTTGCCAGTGCAAGTACAGTGATGGATAGGTCAGCTGTGATTTGTTAGATTTTATATTTCAGGGTCAAATTCAATTCTGCAGCATAAACAAAGGATGAGTCCAAATTGACAGTAGAATTGTCAGTATTAAAAACAAAAGTAAAAGCTCACTGAAAACTACATGAACAGAAACTTGTTAAATGTAGTTTTGTATAAGATCATCTCTACATGTAGATGCATAGTACAAGGAAGCCAATCACAGTCTCCTAGCCATTATTAAGTGTCAACTATGCTGGTATTGACCTAATAAGTTGATTTGGACAATAAATCTTATGTGGAATTACCTATTGTAATAATAGGATGCTTATGATACAGTGGTACTGTCCCTACCTCTAGCCCAAAAAGCCTGGGTTCAAGACCCACCAGAGATGTGTCATAACATGTCTAAACAAGTTCATAAAAATATCTTGTAGGGTAATTTTGACTCCAGTTGCTAGTGTAGAATGAATACTATCAACTTCAATGGAAATGAAATCCAGGAAAAGTGTCTGGTGAGCATCTAAACTATGCTATGATCCGTAGCCTAAACTATACTTTTTGTCCAAGTGACCACAACAGTAAAACTCAATATCCAAAGCAAGGAGGTCAACAGAGCATTGTTACTGATTGACTGTCCAACCCAACCTATTATTAATGGCCATCAGCAATAGACCTGACACTGAAGATTTGAATTTATTCTCACTTGGCTTCAGATAAACTTGCAAACTATTGCACTAGTAGGCATTGTAATCCTATCTGGTTAAGCAGAGGAAAACCTACTGCTGTATTATGCTGGTTAACTATAGAACAGAACCGTTTTAGCCAAATAAACTCCAACATTTGGCAGGGCCCTGAGCTTTGGCTGGTACTAATTTTTGTTTAAGATCTCTGGCAAGTTGGGGTGTGTGCAAGGAAAGACTTTAATGAGCAGAAACTCTACTTGAATGGATTTCTTAGTAAACTCATTTTGTAAACTCAGTTTGTAAACTCATTAATGATGAGTTTTTGTGAATCTTGATATAACCCTGCAGAAATAAATTTCGTGGTAAATTGAATCACAATGAAAACCCATTGGAAGGGAGAATGGTGCTACTTAGAATTCTATAGGTGCACAACCTACACACAGCATTACTTATCTTGCTAAGTATTAATTAGGTAAAATGGAAACCATTTAGATTGAACTGAGATATTGTGAAACTGCATATTTCAACGTAACTAATTAGATAACATTTCTACAAGAGGAACTGTCTCCCCAAACCACAGTGAAAAATCTAAGATTTGATTTTCTGTTATTTACACTACAAACATCCCAATACTTACTGGCTGCATTAGTTTTCTGAATTCATCTATCTATTTTAAGAGATTTAATTATCATCTCTTGTTTAAATATTTTGTACTTGCAATTATTCAACTCAATATATAGGTTTATACCAGTGAATGGTTTAAATTATCCTTATAGGTGGTGCCTCTGGTTCTGAGGCATATAGACCTAAAAATACATCAGTGTCTCTCTTTAGGGCACCTCACCTACAATGTGCTAATAGCCATGCTCGGATGGGAAGGTCTGAGCAGTACAGGACCATGGATCTCCGAGCTCACTATCAAGTAGAAGGTACGGCAGTAGATGCTTTCACAGGTTCATGCAACAATGTACAGGCAAATGGTAGTATATGATTATGGTGATCTGGAGGAGGAACAAACTGTCATCAGGGATTGGAAAGAACATTGTGGGATCAGAGTATTGTTAGCTCTGTCTCGAAGTGTGATTGGGGATGAGGAAGCAGGGTTCTGGAGGAAATTGTGGTGCATTGAAGTGCAAATCAGGAGTAAGATTGGAGACCTGTAAATTAGAACTGAGTGATTAAGGTGGCTACTAACCTTTTCATTCTGTGCTGCTTAGCATGTATTTTCAGGGAGGCAATCTATGCTGCCTCAGGCCACATTTGTAAGAAGGAGCACAAGCAGGTGCTGGGCCCCTTTATTTGCATAATGTTAATTGCCTAATGTCTCCTTCGGACATGGGTCTTAATTGGCTGTTGCCAAAATGAGGCAACTCCAACCCAGTCAATTTAAACTTGGTCAGGATGAAGTTTTCATAAACAACAATCTAGGATAAACTTGATAGCTGCTTAGGCAAATGTGGATTAAATAAGGAAAACCAGAATGGATTTGTGAAGGACAAATCATGTTTAACTAACTTGCTTGAGTTTTTCACGCGGTATCACAGAGGGTTGATGATGATAGTGCTGTGATGTACATGTACTTCCAAAAATCATTTGATAAAGTACCACACAACGCAACCTTTCGAGACTTCTGCACGGTCCCAACTTAGATCTTGGCTCTGGGCTAATATAAAACAAAGAATACAATAATAAAGAAGGTACAGGAGAAGAGGGATCTGGATATATCTGTGCATACATTGTTTAAGGTGGCAGGGCAGGTTTGTGAGCACAGGTCATGAAGAATATGACATACTGGACTTTATAAATCAGAACATAAGAGTACAAGAGGAAGTTATGATTTTTTTAATATAAAACATTGGTTCAGCTTTGAGTTGAATATTGTGGATTGAGTATTGTCTGTGCGAGGCAATAACCTAGTGGTATTATCACTGGATTGTTAATCCAGAGACCCAGATAACATTCTGGGGACCCAGGTTCAAATCCCGCCATGGCAGATGGTGGAATTTGAATTCAGTAAAATATCTGGAATTAAGAGTCTAATGATGACCATGACTCCATTGCCAATTGTTGGAAAAACCCATCTGGTTCACTAATGTCCTTCAGGGAAGGAAACTGCCATCCTTACCTGGTCTGGCCTACATGTGACTCCAGATCCACAGCAATGTGGTTGACTCTTAACTGCCCTTTAGGTAATTAGGGATGGGCAATAAATGCTGCCTAACCAGTGACGCCCTCATCCCATGATGAATAAAGGAAAATAAAATAGTCCTGATACTGCACTCTTGGAAGTATGTGAAAGCATTGGAGAGCATGCAGAAAAGATTCACACGTGAGGGTCTGAGTATGAGTGACCGCTGTTACATAGTAAAATGACACAACAGTGGCCGGTATCCCATCACCAAGTCACTCTTTATTTACACGTGGAGAGTCCTTGACACTGATCTAGCTTCCTCGGAGCCAGCTCTGAGTGAACAGAACCTGTGACACTCCTGTTTATATCTGCCAGCTAGGGCTCCCTGATTAGAGCTATTAATCTGGTCCATTTCAGGAAACTGATATTCTATGATGTCCACCTGGCTGACCTTGTTACAATGACTACACATAGAATGATTGGACAAGTTGGGACTGTCCTCCTTAAGGAGAAGGCTAAGAGATAATATAAATGGTATTCAAAATCATGAGGTGTCACAATACAGTAGATGGGAGAAAGTGTTCACATTGGTAGAAGGGACCAAGGACACAGATTTAAAGTAATTGGCAAAAAAAAAAGTGATGGTGACCTGAGGAAAAACCTTTTTCATTAGTTAAGATTTAGAATGCAGTGTTAGTTGAAGCCTTCAAAAATGAATTGGTTCATTATATGATTTGCAAATATTTACTTCATTAAGCAAGCAAGTTTTAGTCACAAACCCATTTGCTAAAAATGCAGTCGCTTTCCAGTCAATGCTCACATTGACAAAGGAGAAGAGGGTACTGTTTTAATTAGCAGCAGAAGGTTTTAACATGGAACTTTAGACGATGAACCTACTAACATCTCCATTTCTTCTGATTGTCAGTAAATCCACAGTTAGCCAGCTATTTATATGAAAATTTGGCGCTAGGATTTTACCTTGCTGTAAAATCTCTAAACCCAGATGTGACTGGATTTCAATTAGCATTGTTTTTGTTTGCAAATAATTAATTATCTTTCTTTTTAGCAACAGCAACTTTTCATCTTTGTTTGTTTGTTTACTCTAGATTATCATGAGTGCTGCAAGTATCCCCTCGTAAAATCTTGAGAAATCAAAACTGCAAAAATTGTTAAGTGCCCAACTTGTTGCACATTCGGATTATGTTCCTATTTAGATGGAATGCTTTTTTTCTCCTGCAGGGGAAGACCAGAGAATTGGCAGAGAAACAGTCTGAACAGTAAGTATTTGAAATTTGTCCTGTGCACACAACATTAATAATTTATTTAGTTTCTGCAGTTTCTTTAATCCCTTCACTGGGTTGTTGTGCTTATGAATGTGCCCCAACAATATTTTAAGTTTGCTTTTTCATATACGCAAGATAAATGTGAAACATTCTGTATCAGAAACACAATTGCAGTAGGTCCACAGGTCATTGATCTTTAAAGAGACTAATTCTACTCACTCCAGTGCAATAAAACAAATGTGTGTGTGTTGATGAATGTTGGGGGCTGTACAGTACGCACTTAATACCCGAACAGCATCATATGTAGGAGCAGAATTAGGCCATTTGGCCCATCAGGTCTGCTCTGCCTTTCGATCATGGCAGATATGTTTCTCAATCCCATTCTCCTGCCTCCTTCCTATAACACTTAATCCTCCTACTGAATCAAGAACTTATCTAACTCTGTCTCAAAGACATTCAATGACTTGGCCTCCACAGCCTTCTGCAGCAATGAGTTACACAGATTCACGACTCTCTATTTGAAGACATTCCTCCTCATCTCAGTTCAAAAGGGTTGTCTCTTCACCTGAGACTGTGCCCTCGGGTCCTAGTCTCTCCTACTTGTAGAAACATCATCTCCACATCCACTCTATCCAGGCCGCTTAGTAATCTGTAAATTTCAATGAGAGACCGCCCCCACCCCATACTTCTAAACTCCATTGAGTACAGACCTAGAGTTTGCACCCCTTGCTCATATAACGTGCCCTTCATTCCTGGGATCATTCTTGTGAACCTCCTCTGAGCCCTCTTCAAGGTGAGCACATCCGTCCTTGCATATGTGGCCCAAAACAGCTCAGTGTTCCAACAATATTCCAAATACAGTCTGACCAAAGACTTATACAGTCTCAGCAGTATGTCCCTGCTCTTGTAATCTCGCCTTCTTGAAACGAATGTTATTGCTCACCTTACTGCCAACTGAATCTGCATATTAATCTTAGGATTCCTAGTTCAAGATTCTCTCAGGTCCTTTTGTGGTTCAGATTTTCAAAGCCTTGCCCCATTTAGAAAATAGTCAATGCCTCTATTCTTCCCATCAAAGTGCATAACCTTGCATTTTCTCACATTGTTTTCCATCTGCCACTTCTTTGCCCACTCTGCTAGCCTGTCCAAGTAATTTTGCAGCCTCCCCGTTTTCACAACAATACTACCTGTCCCTCCACCTATCTTGTGTCGTCTGCAAACTTGGCAACAATGTCCTCACTTCCTTGGTCCAGGTGGTGAACGAATAACATGAATAGTTGTCATTGATATTACTCTGCCATGCATTAGTGTGTATATTTGCAACACCAAATGGTACTCCAATCCTATTATTTTGTGAATGAAGTTTTTTAAAATGAAATGCTTCACAGATTTATACAAACAATGGTTAACCATAACTAGCACTGAAAACATAATGTAAACCCCAAGTTCTTTATTGGCTGCATTAATTTTCTGAATTCATCCGTGTATTTTAATTATTTGATCCTCCTGTTACTGTAAGTTCAGACTTGACCTACTCTTGTTTCAGAATTGGTTATATGAAGCATTCTAATTTAAATATTGAGAAGGCAAGGTGTTTCTGTTTTCAAAACCTTTCAGCTTATATTTGCTGAACTAAGGATGTGAATCCATTTAAATTGGGTGTACTGTCCTTGGTATTGTGATTGGAAAGAACAGCTTAGATTTTAGCTGCTGGAAGACACATTATACAATTGCATGTGAGCAAATGCAAACTGAGCTCTTGACTCTGGGGAACACAGGCTATTCAACTCCTGAAGCTGCTTCTGCCATTCAATTAGATTGTGACCACTTATCTTCCTTGGTTTCATATCCTTTTATACACTTGCCTAACAAAAAAATTCTCACTCTCCAATTTGAAATTTTCAATTTACCAGTCTCAACAGCACTTTTGGGAAGAGACCCATCCCCTGTTATTTGTGGGGGGAAAAAAGGTGCATCCTAACATCACCCCTGAATGGCATCGCTTGAATTTTAATATTCCTCCTTGTCCTGAAAATAGTTAGTAGACAGCAAGAATCAATTTTTAATCATTTTGAAATCCTCAATTAGATCACCCCCCCTCATTCTATATTTGAGGGAATATTCCCAGATGAAACCAAAATTACATGTACGCTTTGTCTAGAACAGAACTGCGCTAATCAGTTACAAGGTGCAGAGCTGGATGAACACAGCAGGCTAAGCAGCATCA